GGAATCATTTATTCCTCTAAAATTGGAATAATAACTTAATAAAGTTGAAATTTATAATCTCGAGGCATCAAGTGGTTCGGGGTTTTTAAAAAAAAAATATTGAATAATTACCCTTTTCTTTTCTATTCTTATACATTCTTACGTTAGAGGAAAAGAATATGAAAGTGCACTTTGCACTCCACATTTTCTGGACACAATTTTTCTGGTGATTGGAAAGACTCCACCATGAAAAGTGGGATTTATATTTGACAATATTGTTTATAGATTTACTAGAAAAAAAATAATATTTTTTCAATTCACTTTTAAAAAACTCAGGTTAAAATTTATTTAATTAACTTGCACTATCTGAATTTGTGATTAGTTTACATGCACAAAGTGCTACCATTCATTAAACTATTCTTATAAATATAAAAATAAAAAAAATCATTGCACTATTTTTATTATTTTTAAATATTTGTCATAAAATCCATATAAATGTTATAATTTGTAAATATTTGGGAAGAAGTCGTCAGTGAACTATTTTTTCGACCTCATCGTATCAAACTTTTGATATCGAAATCATTAAAAAGAAAAATTTACACAGCCTTCTTGTGACGAGTTGATAAAGCAACAATTCATACATATTTTACGTTTTTGTTTTTTCATTCAATTTATATATAAAGTATTAATCCTTATTAATTTCCATTTTAGTTGTGTACAAAATATTTCTAAATCTATAGTTAATTTTCATTTTATGTATTATTTTGAAATATTTTATTAAATATTGTAGATGTATTATTAATTTTCATTTAATTTATTATTCCCTTATTTATAATGATTAGTTTTCCATCTTTCAGTATGTATTATCTTTTTCCACCCTTGATTTCAATAATCTCTCAAAAATAGTTCATAAAATATTTTTTATACACCGCTTACATGCTCTATAATTTAAGATACTAAAATTTGTAATTTAATACAATAAATGAGCCTAATTTTTCTTGGGCTAGTTAGTATTACCACGTATTGTTTTGTTTTTGCTTCATTATCTTTCAAAATATAAAGAACTCAGTGGCTAATAAAATGATGATGTTTTGATTGCGGAAGTAAAACAACTGATTCCATGGATTTTTAACTAACTCAGAAAAACTATAGAAAATTATGGTAAATTTTTTTTTTTTTTTTGAGCCTTATCGAGCCGAGAAACTATAGTTGATAACTGAGTTAAAAATCAACAGAATCCACCGACAAACTATACAATCCCCTAGTTCGGCCAGAAAAACGATAACAAAAGACTTTAAGAATCCACGGAATTATGATACACTTCAATTATTGTCATATGTATATGTTGACTTATTATCAGGGTATGTAAGTGTACAACATACTCTCTCCATTTTGAAATATAAGGCGTATAAAGATTTCTCAATTTTTTTGAAATATAAGGCGCGCTCAAAAATCAAGACAAATTTTTATATTTTTTTCTAAATATACCCTCATTGTGTTGAAATTAAGGAAGTGTGGAGTGGTTGTGATTAGAGTAAATAAGGTTAATTTAGTCAATTTAGTCATTAATTAATGTCTCCTTAATATTTGTGTAATAACCTTAAATGTCTTATATTTCAAAATGGAGGGAGTATTTGATATCCTTTAGTAGGTAGAAAACAAGCAAAAATGTAAATCATACAGCTCTAGTAAAACTGGCTCCAGAGAGCATATACCTCACCTGAGTATACTACATAATAATTATTGTAAAATCTCGTTACAAGATCTACTTTAAAAAAAATTGACAAAATACAGAAAGCAAAAATTACCGAAAAATCCCGAAAAAAGTTCAGAGTCTGGAAGGGGTTCCACCAGCAACCACCAAAGTCTCACCAGTAATATACGAAGCATCTTCCGAAGCAAGAAAAGCAGCTGCTGCAGCCATGTCCCCTGTTGTTCCGAGCCTGTTCAGTAGTGTCTTCTCCTCCAAGCTTTTCCTCTATCAACACATAGCACAAAAGTTAATAACAATTAACTTACCCAAACATTATCTAATTCAAAGAATCGTATGCATAAATAAAGCTTTTACCTTTAGTTACACACCTAAAACGATATAGAAATTATCGCTCATTGATCTCCGTTATTTTTCTCTTCAAGAGACGCAATTCGTAAATAGACGAGTATTATTGCAATTTCAAAACTCAAATGGAGTCTCATATATTCTGAATACAAGGACACGACAATCAAATGACAGGAAGCAACATTTGGAGCTCACCATGCTCTCGTTTTTCGTGAGAAAAGATGCAAAGTGAGTCGGCACAAAACCAGGAGTAACAAGTTCACGCAATTCGCAATTTGTAAGGCCGTGCTTGTTTACAAATTAAATCACTGTGGTATGGTTATTGTTAATTTTGAGTTTATATTAAAATAATATTTCAAATAAAATAATTAAAGTTGATTTGATGTAAAAATATGAGAGAGATGATGTGAAGTGATAGTTAGTTAAAATTATGTGAGTAGATCAATGGTGAAATAATGTTAATGTGATGTGTAAGAATGATTAGTTTGTATTATTCAATTATATGAATAATATTAAGCATAGTGGGGTTTAAGTTAAAGTATGAATTAGATTTTGTAAACAAGCATCCCCTAAGTAGATGAGTATAATTGCAATTTCAAAACTCAAATGGAGGAGTCTCATATATTCTGAATTCAAGGACACAACAATCAAATGATAAGAAGCAACATTTGTAGCTCACCATGCTCTCGTTTTTCGTGAGAAAGGATGCAAAGTGGGTCGGCACAAAACCAGGAGCAACACAGTTCACGCGAGTGTCCGGGGCCATCTCAGCTGCTAGTGCCTAAAAACGAAAAATAAATACACACGTTTCAAATTCCGAGTACACGAATCGAAACAAATGGTACAACCAACCGCCCGAACTAAAAAACTACCTTTGTGAGCCCAAGAAGGGCTGTTTTGGTGACCCCATACATAGCCAGCCCTTGGGGCGGCTGGTAAGCAGCTATAGACGAAACGAACACGACCGACGAGCCTTTGTGCAAATGGGGGGCTGCTTCCTATCATGTTTATATTACATTTTTGAAACCATCAAAATAAAGCTACTAAGTACTAAGTAATCATTCGAATTTGAAATGCATTTTTTGCAGAACTTTTGTGTTCGTTTTCTTGAGGCAACATACTTGTAGTAGAAGAATAGAGGTTTTCACGTTGATCTCCCATAGTTTGTCGAGAACTGATTCTTTAGTTTCGAGAATGCCGTCCACAGCAGGGTTGGCAGCAGCATTGCATACGATTACATCAATTTTACCGTATTTCTGTGTTTCAAAGTTCAAAATATAACAGATTCCGTTTATCGCTAAATAAAACATGAAAAAGCGAGACCCACAACTTGAAACTTGAAAGCCCTCAAAAATAAAATCTACACATTTTTCACCATCAATATTCATTTCAATCCATAGCAAAATAGTAAAAAGGTATAGAAGAGAATGCAAAGCAATCTAGATCTCCCCTCTATCTGCAGTTCATGTGGAACATCAAGTAAACACCATGTAATTGGAAGCAAATGCTAAACAAGTGAAAAAAATAGTTGAGTGATTATTGAAGAGCAATTCTTGGAAAGCTTAGTAATTAAAATAAGATTACAAACTTGAAAATTGAGCTAAATCAAAATAGGTAAGGCTTAATTCATTTATAATTTTTACCGCAACTGTTTTCGCGATCAGATCCTTCCTTTGCTGAGCATTCGAAACGTGACACACTAAACCCAGAGCTTCAATCCCTTTGCTCCTGAGCTTTTCCACTGCTTCATCAGCATTATTCTACAAAAACACAATAAACCTCAATCTATACTAATTTTTATTCCGAAAAATGGTAGCACAACCAGTAAAATCAAGAAAATCCGAAGAAAACAAACAGATCTGGATCGAGCTTCAGCTGAAGAAGATGAGGAATCGGAGCTTACTTGCCGGCGCGAGGAGATAACGACGGCGGCGCCTTCCAAACCGAGGCGCTCGGCTATGCCGAAGCCGATTCCCTGCGTCGAAGCCGTGACTATGGCGACTTTGCCTGTGAATCTCTTCCCCATTTTCTCCATTTTTTTATAGTTATTTATTTATTTGATTTCTTTTAATTGATGGCTATGGCGATTTGTATGCGCAATAAAAATGTGCAGATCAGTCTACACCATTATCTATCAAATTATTTTTGCTCGATATACACGATGACTGAGCCTACAACATTTACTGCACTGGCCTAATTTTGTAGCAGAACCGTGACTGGAAACTTACTCGTATTTAGAGATGGCCACGGGCCGGACCGGCCTGTGGTCCCGGCTCGGCCCGGTCCCGACCCGGTACCGGCCCAGCCTGCAACAGGCCCGTGGTTGCCGGTTCCGAGGACTATAACCGTGGCTTTACGGGTCGAAAACGGATCTCGTGTTTTCATTTTGGTCCCCGCGGTCCGGGACCGGGTCGGGGGCGGGCCGGGACGGATCCGGGACCGAGCCGGGACAGGGGCCCAACCCTTAGTTTTTGGCGGGCCGGTTAAGGGTCACTCAAGGGAGGCCCGTGAGCCCGGCGGGACGGGCCGGGCCGGGCCGGGCTGTGACCCGTGGACTGGCCACCCCAACTCGTATTTCATTATTAACTTAAAAAGATAATATAAATATATTTATAAGTGAAATTTAGTGGTTTGTTAGAGGATACAAGATTTCTAATAAAAATTCAATCATTTTTAATAAGTTATTTTTTTAACTCAAATTTAACTCAATTTAGACCCAATTCCACAATCTCAATATTATCAATATAATTAAAAAATATCAATCATTCATTCTTACAAAATGCATTAATTTTAATTCATTATTCATTCACTGACATAATTTTTATTAATCATCACTTCATATTATTTATGTCTTTACTAATTCGAACTTGATACAACTCGTTAAATTAATGACTTGACAAACAAGTTCAACAAATCGAACCCTAGTTTTAATGATCTAAATTAAGCTAGAGTTAAAAGATATTACTTGAAAACTCTGTTTCTCAAGTTTAATGAGAGTCTGAGCTTGTTACCTAAATGAAAAATAAACAAGTTAAAAAAGATAAATGAATCGAGCCTAATTCGAGGTGTATTAGTTAGAACACAATCATGCTCATGAACTGCTCATTTTGTTCAGCAAATAGCCAAATATTATAGGTTTTGACCGCTCTAGTAAACGCTAGACTTGAGTTTGGTGAAACTTGAGCTCAAGCAGTTCAATCGAGCAAATTAATTGAGCCTATAGCATCATATCAAGAGGCTCGTGCGAGCTGCCAGACTTTTCGTTAACATAAGTACCGCATATAGTGTAATTATGAGTGTTCTAAAAATAGCTAGGCGTCCGACTAGCGCTTAATGCCTAGACGGGGTCTACAAATTAAGATTAAATACCTTATTTATAGTGCCCCATTTGTTCCGGATTATTTGGAGATTATTATTATTTGTTTTATTTTTCGGATTTATTCGTGCTCGATTATTATATTTTGATTATATGCTCGTAATTGTTAATTGAATTAAATTAATATCGAGCCGAATTGTGTTATTATTTTAATTTTCGAGCGAACCGAATAATCGTCACTAATCGAAATTTCGAACCGAGCGAGCGACCAAACCGAACCGACGGACCGAACCCGTGACCCGGTCGAAACCCGCGCCCGTCAACTCACCCAAAATCCGATTTTCCCCTCTCATCATCATGCATGCATGATCTTAGAATTTCAAATTCAAATCAATGTCTATCCATAGTTTATGCCCCATGACCAAGTCTTATGGGAGTTACACTTTGACTTGCCATTAAAAAGGGAAGACACCTCCTCCCCTCTCCAGTATCTCTCTCTTCACGCTCCTCTCTCTCTCTCTCACTCTCACCATTCTTTTTCTCTTCTTCTTGCTCCAGCACAAACCCTCCCCCTCACTACTCTTTCTCTTTTTGTTGCCGGATTTTCTCCGTCACCATCACAAGAAGAACCCTGTACGCGAGAAGCCGTGACTCACGCCCGGAGACCCCGACCTGCTGCTCGACCAACGTCCACGATCCACCTCTGGTCATCCTCCTCATCCGTGCGAGCCGCCTCCAACATCGAGCACAAGCGGACGAGTTCCCCGCCTTTAGGAATCGAACATCGAAAAACCGAGCCTTGTTCGTGTCCTCCCCTTGGTGTTTGGTATATTTTGCTAAACTCTATTAATCATTATTGAATTAGATGTGTTGAATATGTGATAATATATAATGATTGATATTAATATGTTAAAATTATGTATTATTTTCATAAGACAATCATGGATCTTTGGAGTTTATTTTGAAACCCAAATGATCTAATGATAACTCGTTGAAATCTCATGGAGTTTGGAATATTTTTGTGTCCTTTTGATGCTGGTCTTGACCTTGTGTCATTTGGAGTTGTAGATCTTAAGTTATAGATTTTTGAATATAATGATACTGCTGTGGAGTGTTAAATTCGTGAGTTGTTGTCCAAAATTTCTGAATTTTGGATATGTTGTTCTCCTGATGCATATCGACCTTGTGTTAAAATTTTATAATTTTTGGAATCCAATTGCTAGGGTAAATGCTTATTTGATTATTTCTGGTGAATCTTTTAAAAATCGTGTAAAATTAGTTCTTTGATGAAAATGCCTGAAACTTGGTTTATATGCTCATTTTATGATGTTATATATGGTGTAAAAACTTCAAGAATTATTGAATTAATTTTGTTAGGTTTTTATGGAAATCTTGAATTCTACTTAAACTTGCAACAATGTTCATAATTCTTGTGTTCAGTGTTTTTACCTGAAAATTTTATATGTTGTTCCCAGCATGCTGAAGTTATTTGTATAAAAATTTTAGGTCTTAGATCATTCATTAGGTCAGACATTAAATTCGTACTTGTTTTTGCTGAAATCTTGTCTTAATTTTATAAAATCGCATGTTTAAGTGGTATGGCTGAAACTTGGTGGTTTTGATGTACCAGTGATGTCTATTATGTGTTCAAATTTTAAATCAAAACTTGTTCATTTTCCTGGTCAACTAGAATATGTGGTTTACTTGTCATATTTTGCAAAAACTAGTTCATCGTGTTAAAGCATGAATTTTTATGTGATCTTTCATGAATGTTGCTTCCTATTGATGTTTTATACGTGTTCGTAATTTGGAGTCGAATCCTCTGGTGGATTTTGAGATAGCCCGATTAGTACCCCAGTTTTCGGACTTTTTCCCGAGCCGTTGACCCCTTTGAACTTGGTTTGACTTGGTCAACCCTTATTTGACTATTATGTGTCTTTCCCATACTTGGTTTCGAGTCGAGTCAAATGTTCCATAACTCCACGAGAATTTCCCACGAGCCACTTAGTCGACGAGTTTCGACTAAGTTTGTGTGTTCGTTGGATTGGTTTGTAATCGAGAGGCTATCTTGATTTCGTGTAGGTGTTTTGAGGTGTTGACCTCACCACTTTTTTGAGCCTCATACTTGTGAATTGTCGCTGCAATCAGGTGGGTACATTTACGTTGTATCTATAATTATCGCACTCGTTATTTTCGTATAAATGTTTGTCTCGATAGCTTTTGTATGCGTAAGAACCCTAGAAGAACGGCTCCGTGCCGTTGTATCCGGGAGGGACGCCCCATGCCGTTGTATCCGGAGGAGGAAAAACAACTCTACTGTCTCTTGGAAAGGATCCTATGCCCGTTGCATCCGAGGTGGGAATGTTTCCGGTTACATCCTTGTCGATGTCTGGTCGGGAGGTTTGTTGTATGTACAAAAGCTATCTGAAAAAAATTATCGCCGATCCCTCCTAAGAGCGCCTAGGCCCGCCTAGCTACCTGACCTGTATATTTAGTTGATTCATGCAAATCGGAGGCGCCTAGCGCCTAGGTAACCGCCTAGGCAATTTCTAGTACAATGTTAATTATCAATATTAGAACACCAGGACTAATTTATTTTATCTAAATTAAAAATAATACCCTTATATTTAAAGTCTTATTTGTAGAAATTTCAAGTCAAACTCGAGC